TCTCAGCAAGCTGTCCTTGGAGAAATTCTCCTGTCCTTCATTGCTGCAGTACTACTTGCAGGAGAATCATTCATCCGCTATTTGCAATGTTCATGCGAGTAGTGCAGAGCTCTGTAAACTCCATGCTTGTCACAGATAGCAAGCACCAAAAAGTGCCGCGTGGCTTTGTCGGCTTTTTAAAAAGTGGTGTCAAAATTATGGGATATGGATGGCATTGTGGGATTGAGAAAGTTGCATGCTGGGAATTCGACCCCTAGCTCCAAGAGATCCCTGGGCAAGCCATTTCTATCCCACAACGCGTTGCTTGTGCTGGGCAGTGACAGGTGGCACATTGGGATACCGACCTGTGGTACACTGCAATTTACATACTCACCAGGAATGTGTGTCTCTGTGCAGTGCTGCTGCAAGCAGCCAAGTATGCACACGCCTGAGCAATATGCAAAGTTTGGCAGCTGTATGCTGATGTGGCTTGCGTCAACTGCAGTTTGTAGTATATCCTTAGGCTCCTAAGTCAGTTAGGAGTTGTGATGCTGAGCTGAGCAATGCCTAAATAGTTATAAAAAATAGGGCCTAAGTGCCTAAGAGTACATCTATACTGTAATCACAGGCTTTAACGTGGGCTGTAGAACCCTGCCCAGAACCCTGGGTAAGTACTCGCGTTGCTAGTCTGTGCTGGGATCTGTGTTGCTGCATTTTCACTGCTATTTTTAGCAGCAGTAGCTAGATTAAGGTTAGTGTGGGTATGCCTGCCTAAACTGCAATCACGCCTCCTGATTGTGGTGCAGACACCCCCTAAGTGACTCAAGCCGTGTGACGCTGAGTGGAGTAATGCCTAAATACCTTTAAAAATCTGAGCCTAAGTGCTTAAAGGTGATACTGAACCCAGTAATGTGAGTAGTTGGAATTATTCCTTCCAATGTGCATTAATATGCATTTATTAACATTGAATTTACCATTATGTCCCCATTTATCTACCTTCCCTCTGTACTACCTCAGTCTTCTCAGGTTTGACTAATCTAAGTAATTGGGATCTTCATAATTTGACAACTTGCTGCTCACCCCTTGTCCAGATATTTACAAATATATCTGGCACTGGTTGTAGTACAGAACTTTGAGGCACACCACTGTTAACAGTTAGCTATGTTGAAAATCGAACAAGCACGTCTACTCTTTTTTTATTCTGTAGCCAATTTTTAATTTCACAGCACTCTTTTGTGAGTTATCCAGACTCCTTGAAAGTTCTAAGAAAGTTTGTCAACCAGTGTTGTTTTCTAGTTTTGTTAACATGCTAAGGAATTTTAATGGATTGGAGATGTGTAGTTTTCCTTTACAAGAAACTATGCTAGTTTGTTCTGCTTTCCTGTTCATTCAGGGGTTTATTAATTAAGACTTCCCTTACCAGAACAAGTGGTAGCTGTGTTAGTCTGGATCTGTAAAAAGCAAGAAAGAGTCCTGTGGCACCTTATAGACTAACAGATGTATTGGAGCATAAGCTTTCGTGGGTGAATACCCACTTCGTCAGACGCAACCAGAACAGTTAGTTAAACTATTAATTCATTCCCAGGTTTGCTCCTGCTGCTTTTTTCTAGATATGGCTGTACACCCTTTGGTATCCTCTGGTTTTCTGGTATAATAGCTGATGTTAATGAGGTTGCATATTTTTGTTAATATCTCAGCTGCTTCATTCTTTAGCTCTTTCAGAGCTGGTAGATGTGTAACACTTGGTCCTGGTAGCCTTTTGCTAGCTAACTGCTCAGATTGTTCTAGCACCACTTGTTGATCTTTCAGTGTTTTGATAGTAGCTCATCTTTACAATGTGAAGAATTCCCCCATCATTCTCTAGAGAAGGTAAATGTTTTTGCCTCAAAGTTCACCAGTATTTTTATCCTTATTAATTACTCTGTTTACTCCTTGCTGTTTCTGTGGACTCATCAGTTCTTTGGCTAGATTCCTACTAAAATACTTAGTCATATTTGTTTTTATGCCTTTGGCTGTTTGCCCTTCAAATATCATCTTAGCCTTCTTAACTAACATGTTATCTATTATAATTTATACTTTCTATGAGCTTCTAGTTTCTATGAGCTTTTTACTTTTCCACCTTGTTTAGTGATATGTGTGCCTTTGATTATTGTATGGCTACGTGTAAGTTTACTTGCACTAGTTTCATTTGGGTAGCTTAATCATTTTTAAAATGCCCTTTTCTAAAGTTTAGTTGTCACCATGACCGTATGATTCTTCCCCTTCCCCCCCAAAGATGTGGAACCTAATTCTGTTGTGATCACCATTATCTAGTGGTTTAACAGTAGCTACTACTGGTACCAACTCTTGTACATCATTTTAAGAATAAGTCACAAATAGTCTGTCCTCTTTCAGTTCTGTAAACACAGCTGTCTTCTATGCAACAATCTTTTTAACGAGACTCCTACTATCTATGAACTGCTAAATCTTTCAGTTGCTTGGAAACTAAGCTAGAAAATGAATATTGAAATAGGAGTAATCTATGCTATGGAATTAGGTTCTGACCTATCTGTTATACAGCACAAGTTAAATGCGCTTTTGGTGTGTCCTTAACAGCTAGTCACTACTTCATTTAATTATGAAACCTTAGAATTCCATACAACACTTCTTTTGTACATTTATTTGTCTTCTCAGCCTTAAGAATTTGAAGTACTTCAAGTTTTTTCTCATGTCACATGCTATGTTTTTACAGTGCTAGAGGTGAAATGCATTTAGTAGCTTAAAATAGAGGGTAATGTACTTTTTTCAGTCCAGTTACTCCTCATATTGGTTCAAAAGCTTGGTTTCTGCTAGCCCATCATGTTTAATTACATACTTGAATTAAACAGAGGGAAAGAATAAAAAAGCAAAGAGTGTAAGGTAGAGGTTAAACACTATCTTCTTGCTGTATCCAAATAGGAAAGCTTGCATGCTCTGAAGAACTTCATTCAGATTATGAAATGTATTCCAAAATAAACTAAAATGTGTAGTTCTGAACCAAACACTGTCAATCATTTTACTGAAAAGCAGTTTGGTGACACCTGCAGTGTGGGAGCTGAATGTAACACATTGTAAAACCAGTTTTTCTCCCTGCTTTAATGTTAGTTCCATCATTTTATTCTACCAATATATGTTCCTTTGTAGCAAGAATGTGTAAGCAGGTGGCTTCTTTACCATGCTTAAAATTGCACAGATTTTAGCAGGTCATAGCTTGGCCCTTTCTGGGTCTGCTGTTTAAATAAAAGGAACTAAAATGATGCACAGAATTTAGCTTAAGCGTTTTCCTCAGACTTGGTTGCTTCCCATATTCCACCTTGTGGGCTGCTCAGTTCACACCCTGGGTCCTTTCTACAGAGCCAATCCTTGCTCCTTAATATTTGGCTGGGGCTAACAAACTACTTGCATCAGGTCAGCAACAAAGTCCCATTTTTCCAGCGGGATCAGCTAACAGCAACAGAGGAGATAAATTATACACTAAGTGCTCATGTATTGAAATTTTGGAAAAGATTAGTGTGTTAAAATATTCTAGGGGCCAGCATTTAAATCTAATGCTGTATATGTTGCTTGTGTACTGTATGCTTATGGAAGTAAAGGGATATGGAAGCTATATAGCGTTGCGTGCTGTAGTCTAACTTCAGGTATGAGCTACTTGTTTGTGTGAGAGCCCTTAGTTTAACCAACTTTGTTTAGCTGTTTTTTGACAAAATGCATTATCGTAACCGTTTACTTTGTTTTCTTGTGAAGTTTTTCCACACAGTTCCAACAAAATATTTCAATTTTGCAACAAAATGTATGTAGTGTTAAAAAATTGATCATGTTCTCTGAATCCAAAAGCTAATTTTTAAATAAAATACAGGTCAGCAGAAACATTATGGTGAAAGGTAATACTAGTGAATTACAAGTGTGGCTCTCGGGCTTCAAGTGCTCTTGATAAATATCTGTCATCCTAAAATGGTTTTAAGGGTGAAGTACAAAGTTCTTAAAATTTCAAGCAGACTTGTTGGGATTCCAGAAGAGGAAAAAGTACACACCTATTTCTTAGTTAAAATATACCACTACCTATTTTACAATCAGAGGCATGTACCATCCCCTAAAAAGGCTTTTGCAGATATCTCTTTGCTCTGCAAGTGATATCAGAAATGCCACGAAAAATGGTTTGAAAAGAGCTATTCTTTTTTAAAATCCCTGTCTTCCTTTCCTTTTGTTATGGTATTTGTGATCTCCTTCACCTTGGAAGGAAAAAAGCATTCAGTTCAGATTTCTTAGTTTCATAGGAGGTAACTTTGTTGGTATAGAGCTAATTTTATGTTTGAAGTCATATTTTTTCTTTGTGAGAACCTAGTTTTAGCTTTTAGGAAAACCATTTCAGTTTACTTTACAGCCACTTTATTCAAATACAATTTTTCTTCAATTTCTAAGTAAAGTTTTAACTATAGGGAAAATAGGCTATAAATACAAAGTACAACTCGATAAATTTTACCAAACCAGACCTCCTCCTTTTGATATTGTGCTCTGATGAACTTTCTTCAGGGTCCTCTCTTCTCACTTTCATATGCTTTAATTATTGGCTTGAATGGGATTACTTATATGAGTAAAACAAGCAGGATTTGGCCCTAAAATTTAGTCTTTTTCGTCAGTAAAGGAGCTCTGTTATGCAACATGCTGGCATAACTTAGAAGAAAATCTGTTAAGATCAGAATATCAAACTCCTCCTACTTGCTTACGGAATCTGAGCTATATTAATGTAGTAATTACCAATCCCTCTCATCCACATTATTCAAACCTCAAAATACTATAGGTCTTACATGGTTTGTTTCGCTGCCCATTTTTATCAGGTAAATCCTTTAAAATTATATAATACCCTTATTCCATACATAAAATGCCTGGGAGCCTGAAGTTGCATATTGATATCCGTAATACAAATTATTGTAATTAGGTTACTCCAAGACTTGCTACATAATCAGTACACCTGGGATGCTAACAATTGTGTGTTTCTTCTACAGACACCAAAGATGCTGACTAGAAAGATTAAACTCTGGGATATTAATGCCCATATAACCTGTCGTCTCTGCAATGGATACCTTATTGATGCTACCACTGTAACAGAATGCTTACATACCTGTGAGTATGACTATGATTCTATAGCATATTAAAGAAGATTAATGTTTTTTTACTTCACATACTAGATACTTCAGTTTTCAGTTGACGTTTAAAAATCTATTGTGGCTCTGCCAAAACAATGCAAATTTTGGTATATACTTCACGTTTTAAGCAAAAATTATATTGTCTCATGAAGAGAACAAGAGAAGCAAAACCATGAGCCCTAGCACAGTATAATAAATGGAAGTGGTTTTAAAAAAATATCTTGCACTGATTTAAAAAAGTAGTAATCTCAACAGCAATAATCAGACTGATTTTTCACATACGCAATATTGGTAGTTTAAAAAAAATTATCGTACTAAATACTTAGTCGAAAATTTGTACTTCAAAATATGAAGACAAATGCTAGAAGGACTTTGAATTGTAACTAAGTTGTTTTGAAAAAAACAAACCTTATTCTCTGGTTATAGCGTCTGTTCAGAACTCACCCTGGAGTGAGACAGGCATACTAGAGTATACTATAGGCAGTAGCAGTCATGAGTGCTAGTCCCTTCTCCCCAAACTTGTGGTCACGCCCTACCCTTACAGTAACCTTAACTACTTGCCTTTAAACCACCCTGTCAACTTTTTCTTCAGTTACCACTCTAGCTCTTTGTCCCCTCCAGCTTTGGGGTGATGCAGTATCTCTTTCTAGTGGTTTTTCTCTGCTTTCTATCTATTCTGATTATGTTGATAAGGGCCATCGGAGAGCGGTACTAGGATTAAACACCATCCAGTCTTGCCACCCTGTCCTGTACTAGTTTTTTCTTCTCCCACCCCAATGCAAGAATTTGGTTGTAGAGGCGGCCAGGGCTGTACTGTGCCCCATAACCCTGAAATGTTGTGCTGGGATCTGTTCTGATGAAGAGGTTGCCAGTATGTTGCTGCTACTCTTTGCTTCATGAATTACCAGTCTAGTTTTGGAATGATTCCTCCCTGGTGGAATGAATTGAAAGGTTTTTTTGCTGATCCACCTAGTACCAAACTTCAGCAATGCTATCACTAAAAGGACTGTGTCTAAATGGCTGATTTGATACAATCTGCCAGGCCTAAGGCTAGAAAGGCATGTCAAGGCTCATTCGATCTGAGGCAGGAAAGCCTTTGCTTGCCTGTAGCTCAGAAGTGTGCATGGCAGGCAAGCATGTTCCATTCACATAGGCAAGACATACATGTAGTCATTGCTACATATGCTTGCCAAGCACTATTTCTTGGACTGGGACTCGAGAAGAATACAGTTTTGGGGTGACAATCCTGCAGAACCTGTATCTGAAATAAGAAAGCTCAAATCTCCAGCCCCTCGAGCTTTTGTGTTTTCAGGTATGTCACTCATTTGCATTGTCCATGCTTTTGAAAAGTTTTGTTACTTCTGGATCCATCCTTTAGGCTTATGTTAAACTGGACAGGTGATAGGAGGTATGTTACCTTACTATAATTTAAAAACTACAACAAATCTTGTTGGTATTGGCATTGTTCATATTGCATGTGCTGTTTGGTGGGTATATGTTTGTCTTTTGGGATATCCCTTGAGTATGCAGGACACACTCTGCTGTAAAGTATCTTTAGAGGAAGGAAAATTAATTGCCTTTTTAATTTTCCCTTTTGGGGAATATTATCTTGGAGGAGTCTGTTTTAGATGTTGGATTATTTGCAACATTTACACACATTACATGCTTTCAAGGCACTGACTTCTTACAATCAATTCTATTTTTGTGTCTGGCTTTAATTTTAAGGCGCTTTTGTTTTCTACTAACTGGAAGATTCCAAGGTACTATATGGGCACTGGCGGGATGGCTCACATGTCTGGTTGCTACTTATTGCTTTCAGGGATATTCAAACCTTTAGAATTTCAGGGATTCCATCTGTCGTGTTAGGAACTTAAAACTAGGGTGAGAATCCCTGCAGAGGATCAGAATTATGGGGAAAGTCAATTTCCTCCATCTCTTCCCATGCTTTCTTCCTTCATATGTATCTTGGTAATTATAACTCTCCAGTCTTATGACTTGTCCGGGACAAACTCCAACAGATACTGTGCTTTGGTAGCTATTAACAGTCTTCTGCTGTTCATGCCTTTTCATTAACAATGGCAATAACAAAATGCAGCTTCTGTTAAATTGTTTTAATACTTCATCTTCTACCTTGATACTTGGACGGCAGCGTGTATATGACAGCTGTCTTAATGTGTCATGAAAAGTTATGCTCCAAATATAGATTTTTTTTATCTTCAGCATTCAAAAGGATAATAAAAGATGAGGAAATATAGATAAACAACCAAAAAAACCCCACAAAAAACCAGCAGGAATGAAAATGTAAGAAAGGCGGTGCAGGATATTGCAGTGGATAGTGACTGCTGTTTTCTAGTGGATGCTTTTCAAAAATAAACATTCTGAATTATAGTTTAAAATAAGAAAAAAACCTTACAATTGAGTTTAAAGCTGTAAATGATGGGTCTGATTCTGCTTTCATTGACTCATTGAGAGCAAGATTTGGGCCTCCTGCTTGCCTTCCCGGGCTTCCTCTGTGCATGAGAATCTGCTAGTCTGGACCCCTTCACCTGTGTAGAATCCCACTGAGGCAGATTCCTCTGCAGGATCTGGGTTCAGTGAGCAGTACTACTAGACTTGGTTTATCGTTCAGGATAAGAATGCTGTCCTACTAGTTAAGTCATTGACAACAGCTGCTAGCAATGTTATCTTAAATGTAATGACTGAAAATACTGTAATACATTCATACATTACACCTTTGCTTTGCTGACTTTTGGCTTTTGATTTGTAATTATTCTTCAAACATACATCAACTTGTCTGAGAGGTAGATGGCACTGTTTAACTGCAGAAAGTATACCTCTGTAACTTAGTCATTAGAACTCTTATAGCACTGTTGGGTAAAAATAATGAATCAGCCTGAGCTATTGGAAAGATGCTCACTTACCCAAATTTCCCACTTTATATTTACACAGAAATTTTAGTAACTCAAAAATCATTAGAAAAAAGAAAAATATTTAGCTGGAATTTATTTATCACATAAGTAATTACTGTTTGCAGTGTTGTACTTGGGTTGGTCCTAGGATATTAGGGAGACAACCTGGGTGAAGTAATATCTTTTATTGGACCAACTTCTGTTGGAGAAAGACAAGCTTTTGAGCTACACAGTCCAGAAGAAGAACTCTGCGTAGGTCAAAATCTTGTCTCTTTCACCCATCTTGTCTCTCTAATCAATTACTGTCCAAGTAAATAATTTTGTATGATTTTCTTTAAACAGCTAATAGTATTTCGTTAAAATGCGTAACTTCTTTGTAAAGTTCTGTAAAATGAAATGAACAGAATTATGTATGTAGACTTTGAAACAGGTCCAAAAGAAAATTGTGCAGTGTTCTATTGTGATGTACGTTGTGTTTGGTGCGAGGTTAAATAGCACCTGAATGCCCTTTCAGCTAGGAGCTGCATGTTCACTAAACAGCAACTTCTCGGAAGGAAATATTTTCCTTGGCTCAATTTCCTTTCGTTTACAGCCACAGCTCAAAGTTTCTTTCTAGCATATGGTATTTTGGGTTGTGTATTATGTATTCTAATAGTTTTGAAGTAAGCTTTACCTGTCCAGGAATAGGACAATAACATAGTATGTCCTTCATACGTTGTTTATAATCTACCATTGTTCTAAGAACTCCCATGAAAGATAATGGAAATTGTGTGTTGTTCAGTGGTATATTAGAAACTTATTTACATAAAATTGAAGGGACAAAATCTGAATTGTGTGTGAATTGTTCTGTGGCTATTTGTATGTAAGTTAATTTCTTTTAAAATATTCACAAGAACACAAATGTGAACTTGATTTTTTTTCTTCCTAATTATAAATGTGTCTGCAGTCTGTAGAAGTTGCCTGGTGAAGTATTTGGAGGAAAATAACACCTGTCCAACATGTAGAATTGTTATACATCAGAGCCATCCGCTACAGTATATCGGGTAAGTGTGCTGCATACAATGAAAATCACAGATAATTAAAATCTCTGCAGGTCATGTGTAGATATCTCAGATTATGGCACAGTTCTTTACTAGATTTTCTTACTTAAATACATAAAGTGAGCAGCTTGATTTGAAATTAAAATAATGGTTCTGTGTAAGCAAAGTGGGAGATTCAAAGATCACTTCAAAGGTCAAACTTAATGTGTTTGTCAAATTTAAGAACAAGCGAAATATTTGTCTATTTTTTACCAATTTCTACTGAAGTTTAATTGAATTTAGTAATTTCTGGTTAGACTGTATCTGGTTCTCATAGGCTATATAGAATCTATTTCTGATTGTGCGAATTACATGTTTATCTAATATTTCATTATATTCCCATGACTGGTAGTTCAAATGTATTTTTTGTTATGGCAGATGCACTGTGGTTTTAATGTTTTACTTGAGGTACTATTCAAAGACTGAAATCTGAAGGTGGCAGCATTGTCATTGTTTAGTCTTCTGAGTGACTGTTAATTTGCAGGATAATCTAATTACACACAAAAGAGGTAAAGCAGCAGAAAGGTTAGTCCAGTAGCTCCCGACCTCTTTTGGTTGGAGCCAATGCTGAAGGATTTGTACCTGCCCTACTCCTATCCCCACAGCCACTCAATGTCTGTTCACAACATGGCCTAGCGTGGTTGTGGTATCCTGCCTGTATTGTCCTCTCTTCCTGTGTCTACTGTATAATATTTTTGCAGGTTGTGCTTTCCCATACTTTTTCTCCTACAGTTTCCTCTCAACTTAAATATTTCTAAGGCATCGGTCACCATGATAATCAACTGCTGATATTTCCTCACCTGGCTTGGTCAACCCTAAAGAACTGTACCATTGCAGCTTTCACTGCTGAAAATGCAGCGCTGTAAGTTGGATCGGGGCAGTGCATCCATACCAGCTATTTCTTTTAAGGTGCACTTCTGCCCTGCCTCCAAGCAAAGTATTTGATGAAATTGTTAGTTGCACTACTTTGAATATGTATCCCACAGTCCCTGGCACAGATGCTGAAAGCAGTGGATTTTGAAAAGTGTAGTCAACCCCCTGCCTTCCTCCCCCCCCATTTTCTAGTTGATGACACAAATTGGGGGAGTGGTAAATAATGAAGAAGACAGGTCACTGACTGAGAACGATCTGGATCACTTGATGAGCTGGTGCAAGCGAAAAATGTGCTTTTTAATATGTGTAGTGTAACTGTGGACATGTAGGAACTAAGAATGTAGGCCGTGCTTACAGGATGGGGGATTCGATTCTGGAAGCAGTGACTCGAAAAAGATTGGGGGATCCTGGTGAATAATCAGTCGAACATGAACTCCTGTGTGACACTGTCCAAAAGGATTAGTGCCTTCGTGGGATGCATAAAAACAGGAAACTCAAGTTTCCCAGAGAGGTTAGTTTACCTCTGTATTTGGCACTGGTGCCACTGCTGCTGGAATCCTGTATCCAGAGCTCTGGTGTCTGTTGATAAATTGGAGAGAGCTCAGGGAAGAGGCACGAGAATGATTAAAGTATTAGAAAACTTGGCTTATAGTGATTAGTTTCAAGAAGCTCAATCTATTTAGCTTAAGGAAGAGAAGGTGAAGGGGTGACTTGATTACAGTCTATAAGTACCTATATTGGAACAAATATTTGATAATGAGCTCTTCAGTCTAGCAGAGAAAGGCGTAATGTAATTCAGTGGCTGGAAGTTGAATCTAGACAAATTCAGGCTGGAAATAAGGTGTAAACTTTTAACAGCGAGAGGAGTAACCATTGAAAAAATTTGCCAAGGGTCGTGGAGGATTCTCCATCACTAGTAACTTTTGAATCAAAATTGGATGTCTTTCTAAGAGATTCTCTAGGAATTATTTTGGGAAAGTTGTCTGGCCTGTGTTATACAGAAGTCAGACTAGATGATCACAACGGTTCCTTTGTTCAAGCTGCTGTTGAAGATATACGATTTTTGGAATAGAGAATTGTTTTATATAAGTCTTAATTCTGTTAATCACTTGTTATGCAGACCCATAGCTTGACTTCTTCCCCTCCACAGACCCCAGTCCAGCTGGGAAATAGGTAATCTAAGCAACTCTCGTGATTCAGAAGTGAGAATGCAGTTAAGTTTTCATACCTGCTTGCTGCTGTGGGTTGGTTACTGTAGATTGACTGACTGCTTGACTATGGTTCATTTATATTGAAATACTCTTGGTGAAGCTTCTGCAATCTGGAAATAGACCCCTCACATCCATGTTAGAGACTTAGCTACCTTTTAGTGTTCCATTAGTTCATTTAAACCTAATTGTCCTCCTCCAGCTCTTAAAACATTGATTAAAAAGTTGAAGTAACTAATAAACTGCTACTAACTCTGTTACTACTGTTTCTGTCTGGTTTAAGTGGTCTCCACTGTTGCGGAGTACTACTGAGAACTGACCTCTGTTATGAGCATACACTCCTGCTGTGGAGTCAGAGCCAGTGCTCAACATGGTAAATTTTTCCAGGGTAATGCCAGATATCAGCTGGGATGGGTATATTTTTAAAATTATTGCACTGTTTTTGCTTGATATTAGAACTTGGTGGTATCGGTTCAGAGGTCTGGTAACATTCTGGCCCTTTCAAATGGTAACTTTTCTAGATAGAATTGCCCTTTCTTGATTTTTTTTCTTTGTTTGAACTTCTGTTGAAAGCAAATCAGTAGATTAGCCTCTCTGAGGAGTTTGAGGGCTAGAGGTTTAGGGTCTTGACCAATTTTACTTTTTTTCCCCCTCCATGCCTAGTGTCAGGCCACCTTACCTTTCTGCTTAAGAATCACTGGACAACACAGCTTCTTGAGCTGCTCACTGCTGCTCTGAAATTTGAGTGGAAGTGGTTGGATTAAGAGCAATTTACTGCCTCTGCTTATAAACAGCCGAATGTATGGGTTTAACTCCATTTTCTTGATTTATATGCTTTTCCTATGCATGCTTTTCTCTAGCTGTTTGTTAGAAAAGGAGCATATTATGGATAGTTCCTCCAAACGTCCCCAAATGCGGGCTTGAAGGACCTAGGGATGTTAATGTCTCCTAGTGTCGCTGTGCATTCTCATAACAAAATGGTCTGTCTCTATCTATTTGTATAGAAATGTTGGTCTAATCCCATATGGGCAAATTCATTGCTAGTGGAAATGGGTAAATCTCTGTTGAAGTTGTTGTAGTTTCACCAATTTACCACCAGCAAAGAATGTGGTATGTAACTTCATGAAACAGCTGTGTATGGAGGGAAACAAAATCTTCAAGACTCTGTTTAAAATAGCTGTAAGAGAAATAAGACTTTGTAACAGAACAGGGACCCTGTAATTTAGATAGTCAAGCTGCATAGCAGCAGAAACAGATTCTCTGGTGCAGTGCACTATAACTAATGAAAATTTTATTTAAGTATTGTTCCACGTGTATGAGAAATGTACAGTTATTCATAAAGATGTTTGTACCATTGCAAACCTTCAGTAATATCCTTCGGCTGATACTGTGCTGAATAGGAAGGCTGTGTTAAAGTGTATTTTTCCTCATCTTGAGCCAAAAATTGCCTGCCTTAGGTCAAAATTCTATCAAGGTATAGTAAAATGTGCATTAACAACATGTGTACCTTGATGCAGTTGGACACAATTCCACATTCTGCTCTAGACGGATCATTCGTGTTCTTATGTGTTCCGTTAAGGGTGGACTTCAGAAAATTCACACAGCCTGTTAACATTCTAGTACGTCATCCTCCACATCACCTGGGCTACTTTGTTACCTCCTGCCTCTACTGTTGGGGCCTTATCAGGCTTCCTTTCTCATCTTGCTCCCTCCTGTCCGCTAAAATCATTTTCTCATATGACGTCTTTCGGATGTTCAAGTACCATTTATAAATCTGAATATTCTCTACTGTGATGTTTAAAAGTCTGTATTCCTGTTTGCATAATCTATTTAATCTTGGAGTCTTTCTCTTTAAGTGAGATGACATTTAGAATAGAGATGATTGATTAAAAAACAGGAAATTTTCAAATTCTAATTGTTTTGTTCTTTTTGCCAGTCATGACAGAACAATGCAAGATATTGTTTACAAACTTGTTCCAGGCCTTCAAGAAGGTAAGTCTTGGTAGGTCTTATTTTAGCTGTAAATGTTAGATTTACAAAGAGCTATGGTGCATGTTTAAGGGATAGCATAGGTTTTTCACCTGTCTGTCTGCTGCTTTTAGATAAAGATAGTGGTGACAAAAATATACAGTGGAAGCATTTCTGCACTTATTCAAATTCTAGCACTGATTTTACTTTAACAGAAAGCACATATTTGAAGGATAATGTTTGACAAAAGTAATGCTAACACCCAGTACTGGAAAATGTCCCAGTAATGAAAATTGGGATGTTTCAGGAAAATTAAAACATTGTATAATGTTGCATAACACCTTAAAGCAAACCTTTTTGTGTTGGCATTATATTTTGTATGCACATTTTGTTTTAAATTCTACATTTATTCAATCATTTGGTTGCTGCTTTCCCAAGTTGTCAAAAGTGAAGCATTTAATGCAGAGAAAGTGTTAAGTTTCAGCATAATTTTCTTCCTTTTGTTAGATTGCATACTTTAGGCCTTTGCTAACAGGTAACTTCTAATTTGTGTGCTTCTTCTCATAACAGTAATATTTTGACAATAATGGGTGTCTTGAGCTGAAGGAATATTCTATACTAACTATTGGGCCATTCTCATTTTTTTTCAATAGTGTTTTACTGCCTTTCTTGTGTTTAGGTGGAAAACTTTCATTGAAACTAAGTTGTCAAGTCAAGAGGACATTCTCTCACTTTTAAATATGCAAGCTTAAGTAAAGAGACTATATATAAATGAAATTCTTCCAGGCTAAAAATTAGAAGTAGGGAGAAAAAAGGAAATTCAGAATCTCTTACATGTGTAACTGAACAGGCATGTATCATGTACTTCAACTGAGAGATTTGTAGAAGGCTACATGGAAAAATATGGAGTAGCTTTAAATTCCATATGATCTGAAATCACAGAAATGATGTAATAGCAGCCTCAGAAGATGAGGTGGTTATTCTACAGCTGAATGACAAGATATGTAGTGTAGCTTGGTAAAATGGTAATTAGGAAGAGAAGAGATGCAGCCAAAAGTGAAGGGATAGTGGTGTTCACACTCAGATAAGTGCCTCTTCTTGCTGGGAAGTGTCTTCTACGAGGAAGTGGGAGGAGTTTGAAACAATTTTATAAATGTTACATTGGCACTTATTAATGAAACTGTTTAAATTTTTTAACAGCGGAAATGAGAAAGCAGAGAGAATTCTATCATAAACTAGGCATGGAAGTACCAGGGGACATCAAAGGGGAGACATGCTCTGCTAAGCAACATTTAGATTCGCATCGGAATGGTAATTTATTTTTGTTTGCTTTCTTTAGAAAAATGCCATTATGCTGATAAGGTTATTCTAAACACAATCATAATTATAGAAATTGTTATGTAGTATTGTACATTGTGAATGTGACTGCATTAAACATCTAATGGTGTTAAGCTGTACTACTTCTGGAGAAATTCTGTGCCCTATGCACACACAGAATTCATGTCCCCCACAGATTTCTTTGCTTCCCCGCAGAAAAATGACTTTCTGGCAGGGGAAGCAAAGGGAAGTTGCAAGAGCGGTCACGCACTCCTTCCTAGCAGCTCAGGCACATAGTTTCATGCACCTGGAGCAGCAGGCAGAGAGGCAAATAATCATGGTGGCTCCTACCCTGCACTGGGATCAGCTGCTAGACCCACCCCCAGAAACCTCCCCTGGCTGCAGGAAGTTCAGCATCCTCCCTTGCTTCCTGCCCTCATCACGCTTCAGCCGCGGGGAAGGGGTCACTGTATGGGGAGCTGCTCCCCTGTCCGCCCAACCTCCTGCATCTGGACCCCCCCATACACCCAGAAACCCCCCCCACACACCCCTCAATACCTGAACCCTATCCTGCTGAACCTCAACCTCTACATCTGGAGACCCCCTGCACCCAGAACCCCTGTCTCCAGACCCCCATCTGTGCACCCAGACCACCCCCTGCACCTGGACCACCCCAACAAGCTCCGTCACACCCAGAAACCCCAGAACAAGCCTCTGTGCATCCAGATTCCCTCCGCACCTAGACTCCTCCCTGAGCTGTCTGCACCCAGATTGTCCCACACACCGAGCGCCTCCCCACTTGGTTCCTGCCTGATTGAGCCTGACTGCCCACACCTGGTGCATTTGGCATGGAGGGGCAGGGGCCCGGGGTGTTTCTGGGGCAGCCCCTGCCCTTGCGCTGTGTCAGGTTGGGTGCAGCCTCACTGCCAACTCAGTGTCCTGGGACAGGGGAGGGAGGCTGTAGGGTGATCTCCCATCTCTGTGCAGCCAGTGGCCTGTGCTCCCCAGTGCCATGCTGGAACCTCCACATTTATTCCTTGACAAATAAAACTTGCAGAATTTTTAATTTTTTGGCGCAGAACTCCCTCAGGAGTACCATACGCTCACCTCCTGGGGTGTGGTGAGGCCGCTTTGCATCACACCACCCCTACCCTTAAACCATCTTAACTGGCCATAGGAAGACCACCCCAGCATGGGGGATCTTTTGGAGTAGTGCTGGTATAGGAGCTCCTACGCTACCATGATACTGGCTGCTAGCAAAGTTGGGCATGGTGAGGGTTATGGTCTGCTGATACCCAGTTGCCACCATGGACCTGTGGGACTGTTGACAGTTGCTTAAAGTAGCAAGTCCAAGATTTGGTAGAGAGCAAAGGTCACATTCCTGAGCTGTGCTTTCCCCTTTTGCTATATCCAGGGATTTGGGCCATAATTTGTTTCAATCAGTAGAGATTGATTGTGCATGCATAATTCAACCTCCCCCCCCAAAATTTCCCATTAAATATAGTTTTTAGTGACCAAAAAAAAAAGTATCACAAAACAGTTTTAGGGTTTACTTAAAATTTGAGTGAACAGCACATCAATGCATAAAGCTAGAGATATCGCACTCTAACGCTAGGAACTTTGAGCACTTAGGGCTGGCATTATATTTTACTAATAAATGTAATACCATAAGGCTTCCTTTTGAGAGGAAGAGGGATAGAAATTACTGCGTATATAATACTTGGCAGAGTTGGCATTTCTTTGGCAACCTGAAGTTTTTGAACTTCCTGACTTCTGAATACAATCTTGGAACAGTAATGGTGAATTGATAATATCTTTTTTTAAGGAGAATTTTTTTTTTGAAACTTAGGTGCACTGCCCGTGAATCTACATCTAGCTAAATATGCATTCAGAAAATACCAAATACCAAAGATGATTAAGCTCCTTTTCAATTTTTATAAAATGAGCTCACCCCCCAGTCTGACGCATTCAAAAACTTATAAAACCCCATTTGCTTTCTCTTGATTTGATTTTTGTTACTGTCGATTGAGATTACCTACAGTTTAACATCTTTTAATTTCATGATTATAATGCTTTCGTTTCTCATTTAAGGTGAAACTAAAGCTGATGAGAGTTCAAACAAAGAAACATCAGAAGAAAAACAAGAAGAAGATAATGACTATCACAGAAGTGATGAACAGGTAGAATATCTTTCAGGCAACTTTTACTTTGAAATCAGCCAAGTTTTTTTTAGTTTTAGGTTGCCATTTAGCTTTATTTTCATTATGTGCTATGAAGGACAAATAATCTTTATATCCATACATTCATCAATTGATGGAAGCAAGGCACTGTTTTTCCATGCTTTTTAGTAGAATGTATAAAGTTGGACCAAGTGCCTTTATGTGTAGGGAAGGGGTGATGGTCATTTTTCAAGAAAATCTCATTAAGGATCAGTGGCACTTATAATTGTGATTGTCCTCTAGCCTGAAGTGAATTAAAAAATGTGCCTCAAAACTGGTATGTGAGGTCTGTGGCTGAGAAAATTACTCTATAAAAATGAAAAGTAATTTAAATCTAGAACTTTATCTAACACCTTAAAATATATTTAATACAGATGATGATTTTTTGCTACTTTGTAGCAAAAACAGAAAGGAAGAAAGAGAACTTAATGACCGTCTTTTATACTCAAGATCAGGACCAAAATATCTGTCATAGGACCAGCTCCATAGCCCCTGACCTAGGCAAAGCAATGGATTGCCTAGCCTGCTGTTTGGATGAGAGCCAGATGGCTGAGGCAAAATCCATAGAAGTTGGAGTTGTGATGTTGGTTGGGAAAAAAACAGAAAAAATGGCAGAGATACCACCTCCACTGAGGGTGTTCAGTTGTCATTTGTGGGGCAGCTGTGCATTTTATCAATCTTATCAAACTATCAGAGGGGTAGCCGTGTTAGTCTGGATCTGTAAAAAGCAACAGAGAATCCTGTGGCACCTTTAAGACTAACAGATGTATTGGAGCATAAGCTTTCGTGGGTGAATGCCCACTTCGTCGGCCATTCCATATGGCTAAATGCAGT